TTCAGGGTAGTTTAAGGTTTAGGGTTTCGGGTCATGGGGATCCGAGACCCGCAAGCCGGGGCCGATGGGTCCGCACACCCTAGGCCAAGAGACAGACAGTCTGAGGATTCCGGTTTCTTCGGTGCGTAGCTTCGAAGGCATTCACGATTTGGCTGTGGCCTGCAAATCATGTCTTTCTAGAGCAGTTTGCAAGTACGACCTTCCATGGTGTGCTCCTCCTATCCTCCACCCCCTCCACCTCTTGCTACCGCTACCACCGCTGACGACCACGGCGGCGACTAACATCACTACCAACAGCTGTTCTCCCTGGGCCACTACGGTTCGCATTTCGCAAGCAGTAAACAACAACCCGAAAGCCCAAAGGGCTTAACACCCATATAACTGGTGCGAAAACAGTGCTAAGCGCAGATCCATTTCAAGCGCCGGCGCCGGAACATCGGATCAACCTCGGAAGGGTTTTCGGGTTTGGAGGCTTAGGGGTTTAATTCCGTTTGGAATCTCGTGACTGCCGCACACTGTAGACTGTAGACTAAGCTATTTGGGGTCGAAGGCGGGTTCTGTCAGAGGTTGCCATCATGATGGTGCAGAGTCGCAGCAAGTCAGATGTCCGACAGCTACCACAATCAGCAGATCAGCCCCCGGCAAAGCGATGCCTCCGAGCTAAGTAGCTCGCAACGTCACCCCTCAGCGAGCCCGATTTTTTCCGGGCTGTTTAGGGTTTAGGGCTTAGGGCTTGGGGATTTATTGGGATGTTTCGGGTTTCGGCGGCTCCTTTGTAACCGCGATTACCCGCGGGTTGTGTTAGCCCTTGCTTCCTTGGCTCCTGCCGCTCCATCTGTGACAGTTCCTGACAACATGTTCAGCACTGTCACTTGCGACCGCGTGCCAGCCCTCTGCTCTCGACGGCCATATAGGGGTCATAATAATGACCTACATTATTGCGAGGGCTCCTCATTCTAATTATAGCATAATATACCCCCAAAACCCTATTCTAGTGATTAAGGCACCTTGGTTAGTCCGTCTGTCAGCTGCTTCACCGATCAGCGCAAAGGGGGTCGCTTCCCTGATCATGGTAATATCAAAATACCTATACTATTCTGGGGGCTCCTTATTATAATTACATTATCATGAGCCCCGAAACCCTATTCTCATTATTAAGGCTCCTACAATTTTTAGTACCCGTATAGATCCTCTATAGTGGCCCTTTAAAGGAACCCTATTCAGATTATTGCGGCCCTTCCAGATACCTGGGTGCATGGCGCCTTTTTCTCTCGCTGGACGTCTGCCTGGCGCGCAGCAGGGAGCAACATAGGCTCATATAGGGTTTTTTTGTACACCCTACAAAAAGTATAACAAGGAACTGTAAGGGATAATGTTAGAAAATTCCCGGCTCCTAAACTGGAGTCGTATTTTTGAGATTCCAGTTACGCCGCGACGGCTAAGCGGCTCTGCCTTTCCCTCGCTTCGGATACTCCAGCGATACCTTGCCTGGTGTTTCCGCTATTACCACTGGGAGCCTAATGAATCAAGATGTAGATACTACATCATAATTCATTGAATCCCCTACATTCCTCAGGACCCCCCCAGGAGCCAGACCCAACACCAGCTAGGCATATCATAAGCCCTTGCCCACCTCTGCAGTCCTTCGGGCTGCTGCAAGGCGCGTCGCCTCCAACACGGTTTTGACTAAAATAAGTCCCCGAAAGCTTGCTGCTACGTTATACTCTAAGTGAACACAGGATTTATGAAAAGCTGGTGCTGACACAGGTCGCAAGTGTCTTCTAATTCATGGATCAAGGGAGCGCTTTGCAGCTTTAGCCCGCAAGAGTCTTTCGTGCCTTGCAGGGTGCAGGAATTCAAACGAACATACAGTACATCGCAGGAAGGTTAAGGTTAACGTCTACCCTCTCAGCGACTAAGAAAAACGTCGCAATCCGAAACGCACCGGGCATCCGGTCCCAGCAGGATGAGCAAAGGGACTATAACCTGCGATATAGGGCCTTAATGATCTAATTCTCACAAGGAGTCCACCGGCGGCAGTTATTCCGACCCGCACAGAATCTTTCAGCTGGGGGCACCCTGGAGGTTGATGGCTTACATCGTAACGAAGGCTGTGGGTTTGGCGTATTTATTCAATTGGAAGTGTACCATCAAAGCGTCCGTCACAAGGACGTCGGAGCCTGTCACCCCTTCCCTGCCTCTTCTTTCCGCCGGTCTTCTGCCTCACGTCCCAAGTGCCGACTTTTCAAATTTCCCTAACCTTCCTAAAACCGGAAGCTCTAAAGCACAGCATCAAGCGACTTTGGTTCACTGAAGCATGAGCCTGAGTCCCTACCGTATTTTTGACACTCACACGCGGACTAGCCTGGCAAGGTCTGCAGCAACAGGTACGACGAGTTCTGGTTTTGCAGTATGCACGCGTAAACCCTTTAAGCTTAAACTTCCGGAAGTTGCGCATCGTGTTTGCAGGAGGCCCGGAAGGTAAAACGACTAACAGGACCTAAGCTGCAGGGAACGGGGGTACACCCTGAACCCTAAAACCTCATACAACTACAGGAGAATGCCTGACTTCAAGCCCTTCCATTGCTCGAAGTTTTGCGGGCAAGCTGGTTTTCGGTATATCATAGTGATGAGGACTATAGCGGCATAGCATCGTTGACGCTAGGCTCCTTGGTTTCGGGACGAGGCCCTCAGGATGTCCCCGACTCCAACTGTTTCCACAACGTTGCGAGCAAGCGATGCCATTGGCAAAGGTCTGAATTAGGCGTTGCACTGCCAACTGGCCTGCCCCGAGTTTGCTCCGTATCCAAGATTTGACACTGATCTTCATTGCATAGCCTCGAAGCCCTACCCTACAAGAGCCTTGAAAGAAGCGAGGCAGACCTCTTGCAGCACCAAGAAAAACACCATCCGAGATCGGATCGTCCTCATGGTGTTTCGCATGGGTCTCGGCCCCCACCCGTGAACGCTCTAGAGACAGCGGTAGTAGCAGTAGTAGTAGTAGTAGTAGTAGTAGTAGTAGTAGTAGCAGTAGTAGTAGTAGTAGTGGTAGTAGTAGTAGTAGTTGTAGCAGTACCTGTAGTAGTCGTCGTCATAGTCGTCGTCCTCCTCCTGCTGCTGCTAGTGACTGCTAGTGTTGCTGCTGAGATTTCTTCTACGAAGACAACATTACATGACGGTGACTAGAGTCATCTCCAGCACCCGCGACATTGGCAACAAAATCAGCTCCTGCTCCACGCTCGACAACATGATGACTACAGTAGAGGGCTTTTTATAAAAACCCTCTAAACATGATGACTACAGTATCAGCATGTCTGCTAGATTCGTTGCTAGATTTTTGTCCGGGTCTTCGGGTGATAGGGCAACTGCCTGAAGTACATCTAATTCATGCCCTGCGCGCTTTCGGCGCAGTTCTTCAGGGCCGCCAGAGCACTCAGACCTGGATGCAAGGCGAGACGGCCATAGAGTCTACTCCCCAAATAGAGCTCGCAAAACTATCTATCTATCTATCTATCTATCTGTCTCTATATATATATATATATATAGTCATTTATCTTATTATAATGACATGTACTTCAACAGGTTGGCATCGGGATTGAGGTTTCGCCGCTCATTCGGGATTCAGGTTTGGGTCCGGCGGTTGGAGGTTTCGGCATAGTAGTGGGGCCTGAGCTAACAGTCTTACTGACAATACGATGATATGACAAGCTGGTGAAGTTACCTTGCTACTACTCTACGACTACGACTACGACTACTACTACTACTACGACGACGACTACGACGACTACTAGTACTACTACGACTGCCACCACTACCACAACAACAACAACAACAACAACAACAACTACTACTACTACTACTACTACTACTGCTACTACTGATTACTGCTACTTGCTACTATTATCACTGCTACTTCTACTGCAACTGCTAGTACTACTACGACGACGGCGACGACGACGACTACCACCACCACTGCTACTACGACTACTGCTAAGGCTAGGCTCATACTCAGACTATGTAAGACGACTACAACTTTGACTAAGGGCTAAGATAAGGTCAAGACTAAGGCTGTTCCTACCAGAACTGTACTGACCACAAGGATGGCTAGTGAGCTTGCTGTATTGCCTCCGATTAACATGATTGCTCTTGCTGCTGGTCGGGTTGTTGATACTGGCAAACGTGTCATGTAGTTGCTGCAACTCTTACTCTTATTGCTACATGTAGCAATGCTGATTGCAGTACTCGTCCTGCTGTCACTCCGCCGGCTTCGAACTGCTACAACCATCAACCCAATGCTGCGCTTCCGGCTGTTGTTATGCCTATTCCGACCTGCGGCGAATCCTCAGCACAATGAAGCGGCAAACCAAAACCCTCAGCCCTCTCTACCCCTGTGTCCTCTACCCTTCCTGTCCCCAAACCGACGCTAATATAGGAGCCTTAAAAATCAGAATAGGGCTTTGGGGCTTATTATAATATAATCTTTATGAGGAGCCCCCAAAAATAATATAGGCAATTATTAAGACCCCTCCATTAACTGCCAAAAGATTTGAACTCTGAAGGAGGTTCGAGCCATCGCGGAGCCTCTCCGGCTCCGCTTGGGCATGTCTGGCTCTGCAGCACCACGCGCATGTCATAGGGCTTTACAAGGTTGATAATGACCTCAGTGGGGTCTTGGGGATTTTAAGCTTTGACTTGTGGTGGCTGCATGTTCAAGAACCGGTTTTTGTCGGCGAATGCGGCTCAGCTACGAGAACTAGGACTTCGCCTAGACGATGCCAATAAATAAACCCCCGGCTCCCCCTCCGCCATTTCCAAATCTCTCGGAACTATCGTAGCTACGAGTCATGGCCAAAGCACTGACAGAAGAGCAGTGTCAAACATCGCAGTAAGTGTAACGAGAATGCTTTTCGTGAGTAGGCCATGGATCAAACCGCAAGCATCTTAGCATGGTGCCTGTGGCCAGAATTGGCAGGAAAAGCACTATCCCCACGCGTCGGTAATTAGTGTCTTAGTGTCCTTTCACCCCCGGCCCCTTGCAGCAAAGATGCGTGATCCTGGTCTGGGCAATACCTGACGGAGTACTCGTAGTTGGCCAATCCACATCCATGATCGTTCCTGAGTGTCTGCTGGAGTTTTAGCTGGAACTGCCGATAGCGAACCACTACCAGACTACACACTACGACCGCTACAACCTGATCTCTGAACCTTTGAACACTGCAAGAATCACAGTATGTACCCCGCTGGGACGGGGCTCATGTCATCAGTGGCAAACCCTGAATCCTAAACCTGGACAGGCACCAGGCCAAGTTTGAGTCGCGGCATCCAGGGTTTTTTGTAGTCATCTGTGCCAGCATCGGTGTGGGATTTGGGCCTGGGGAACGGTGTTTTATTCAAGTCACGTCCTCTTGCCACGAGAGCGGCAGCGACGTAGCCAAAACGGGAACAACATGCAAAACGATTCCAAGAGCAATCAAACTGTACAACCGAAGAGACTCCCAAACAAATCCCATAAACTCTACGACAAATTCCATGAACTCTACAACCTTTCAGACACCCTTGTCCTTCTAGAAATAATAGACAGAGCCCTATACCTCTATCCCTTAATAGGAACTGTTTAAGAAGGTCTACTAGCCGGTCTGTTTATTCTTTTGGAAAAAACCATGAAAAAGGACAACCCTAAACCCTAAACCCTAAACCCTAAACCCTAAACCGTGCTGCTTTCAGACCATGGTTCTCGATGGTAATGGCATTGTCATCGTTCTGGAACTCTGCTCCCTCGCACTCGGCCGTCTGGGGACCCTCGGCCTTCATGTCCACAATGCCTCGTGTTGGAGGGGTTTAGGGTTTAGGGTTTAGGGTTTTTTTTCCCTCCTACCTAGCAAGGACGAAGCCCGCATTGCAGGGAGTCTTGGATGAACTGCTGGACAAAGCTGACAGGATTCAGGTTTAGGGTTTAGGGTTTAGGGTTTAGGGTTGATTTGGGGGTTTCTGGTTTTGCCCTCCTACTTGGCAAGGACGAAGCTCGCATTGCAGGGTGGTTCGGCAACATATGTTAGGGGTTCAGAGTTTAGAGTTGAAGCTTAGGGTTTAGGTTTAGGCTAGGGTTTATATGTATTTCTCCCACCCGCCCAGCTGTCGATGTCGCACCGCACAGGGTATTGGGTGTAGGAGTGTATAGGGTTTGGTGTCTAGGGCCATGGATGATGGTGGTTTAAGGTTTAGGGCCCCTTCACCCTGAAGCCCAGATTCGGGATGAGGATGGTAGCAAAGGGGTGTCTGTTCTTGAAGGCTGGGGGTTCCGGATCTCGTCCATCTTTGGGCTTAGGATCCGGACGGTACCCCTCCTGCTCTGGGTCTGTAGGGTTTAGGGCTTGGAGTACTTGGGGTTTGGGTTTAGGGTTTCGATGGGTTTCGGGCTTAGGTAGGGTTTTTTGTTTGGGACTTGGGGACCGGGATTCTTGCTGTCAGCAAGTGGGTGATGCCCAAAGACACGAAAAAAGGAACGATGCCGGGATGTGATGAACACATACTGACATCCTCAAAGCACCTCATTTCCAGCGGGATCCGCTAAGGAAGGTTCCCTTACAGGCGTGTTTGCACTGTGACATGTGAGGGAACGGGTACAAACTGAGTTCAAAGTTTGAAGACTAGGCCCTCAACTCTAAGCCCTACAACCTTGTACTCGCCTTGGCTCAGAATTGCCCATACGGGCCTTGGGAATAAGAACGGGCATGGTGGTATGCTGTACTACTTTTAGTTTACTATTTTTGTAGCAAGGAAGTCTGGGCAATATGTGGTACAAGGCCCCTACTTGGAGGGTCGGGGGACTTAGTGACTGGTTAGTTTAGGGACTTATAAGTACCATAACCCCAATTAAGGTCCCTTTTAGGGTACTTATAAGTCTACTTACTACCTACTTACTAAGTCCCCCGACCCTTCAAGTAATTTAGTTCGAAGAGTCCCACCTGTGGAGCCGTCATAGCTCAGGACGTGAAGCGAGAAGCTCTCGACGAGCACCTGGCCTCCGTAGCAAGAAGGGGCGTCCTGCAAATGTCAACGGCATGAGTATTTAGGGATTCAGTTTCACTGCTTTCGATTCCTACTGCTTGGTAGGCCGTGTGAGCTTCGCGCTTGTAGGGTGTAGGCTTCTGGCCTTTGATTGGGATTTTGTTGCGGCGCACGCGGCAAGCAAAGCACTAAACCTAAACCTGATGGGGGTCAAAGGTCCAAGTCCTGAGACAAGCCCCCGCTGCCAGTGCAAGCCACATCATCGAAGAGCTTGCGCGGCACGTCGGCGCCACGGAGGGACTGAGGCTCTGCTGCCACGAGGCAAGGAAGCACCAAGAAGAGCATGCGAGCCATTGCGAGGATGACGGGGGATATCGACGAGCAGAAGGAGCGAGAGGAAGAGCCGGCAAAAGCTGCAGCAAGCGGTGCCTACAGGGCTTCTCGGGCTTGTGTCAGACCAAGCGTAGCGGCGCAGCGGCGTAGCCTCCTTTGGCTCCTGTCGGCCTCAGCCCTGATTGATTGAAGCATGTGTTATTGTGGACAAAGAACCTACAGTGTCATGCGCTGCTTCTCCTATGGGGTGTGCCTCCTGCTTGTCATCAGGGTTACGTGCAAATCCTCACGGAGGCCAAACGGATAGAAAGAATGACCTTCAACTCGGGTTAAAGACTTTCTAAGAAGACCAGCGGCAACACTGCCAACCGTTAACCTTCAAGAGGGCTTGCTCATCTTGTCATATTGAGCCCCCACCCCAACGATTCACAACCTAAATGTCCACACCCTAAACCGTAAGAGGCCTAAACCTAAACCTGCTGGCAAAGTGCAGGTCCAGAACCTTCACCCAAACCCGACCCTAAACTCCTAAACCCTTTTATAGCTGGACCGGACTCTCACGAATGCCAGCAGCAAAGACAAAGGACTCGCGCCTTCCATCTCCACTCTGTCGCTCCAGAGAGTTCTGATATGACTCACCCACTGCTAAAGACCTTAAACCTCAAACCCTTTTTTTGAGCGCGGACTCGAGCTGTATGCCCTAACCCTAAACCCTATACCCAAGAAAGCTCAAACTTCGCCCACCACTGGCCTTGGCTCCCTCCAGGCGCCATGGCCGCACAGGAAGTCGGACATAGCGCCTCGTCTTTGGTCTGCACTTGGGGTTTCGCCGGGTTTCGGTTTGGGTTTAAGGGTTTTTGGGGGTTTGGGGGGGGGGGGGGGGGGGGTTGGAGCTTTAGGGCTTCAGGGATGTTTATCAGGGTTTGGGGTGTTTGTGAGGTCTTCAAGACTTTGGCTAAGGGGTTTTAAAGGCTTTTATGGGGTCAAGATACCTGAAAAAGCAGCAAAGGATCTGCGTGCGATTCCTGTTCGACATGGGATCTCAAAAAAGGACCATATTGTTGAACTGCCCCCAACAAACTTGAACTGTATCAGGCGTTTTTACTGATTAACCGGCGAATGTAGCATGATTCTAGACAGCTTGTGGAAGATATTTCTCAGTAGAGATGCCTGTGGCCCCGCATAGGCAACACGATCCCCTCTGCTTGCCGTTTAGGAGAACCACTCAATGCACCTGAAAGGACATGATACCCCAGACTGGGCGAGTCCTAAACACCGTGCACATAAACCCTGAGCATGGAGAACGAATCCCCGCAACATGATCCTTGAGCCAGTTTGGGTTTCTCTCACCTTTGGTTAGTAGGGAATGGAAGAATGGTAGTAATCGTAGTTATAATTGTACCCCATTCCTCCATTCCCTACTAACCAAAGGTAAGTTATAGGATTATTAAGACTATATTATAGTACCCTTATAGATCCCTTATAGGAACCCTTATAGACCCCTTTAAAAGGCCCGTTCTGAGCTTCCAGCTGTCTCCATTCTTTGGCCTCCTGTGCGTCCAGGGCTCTAAGGCCGAGCTTTCAATGATTTGGGCTTCGGGGCCTGGCAGATTTGGGGGTTTCCGAAAATAGGGGACCCTAATATAGTACCCTAGATGGTAGGGTCCTTACTATAATGCCCCCAAATAAGGTGGCCCTAGTTTTCGGAAACTCCCACTTGAGTTGCGTCCTTAGTTATTTGCTCGTTCGCTCCAAGCATGCGGGGAAAAACTGTCGATGGCAATCGTCTCTGGAATGATGTACCTGAGTCATGTCCTTTCAAATCATGCTTGCACGGCACCGAACTGACGTGTTGCAAGGCAGTTTGGGAGCTGATCTTTTGCAGGTGCATGGACCACTCAAGAACATCTCCTAAGCATTGCAACTCGACTCAAATCCGAGATGCCTCACGATACTGGATGTGGGAGTTTCCGATAATAGGGGACCCTAATTACTACCCCAAATAGTAGGATCCTTATTATAAGCCGAATAAGATACCCCTAATTTTCGGAAACTTTCATGTAGAACCGCGTCCCTGCTAGGGTTGAGGGAGTTCATGGAGGATGGTGATTCCCTGCTGTTATCATTGAAAAGGGGCGCCTCGTGGTATTTGGTGAGCTGCTCCTTCGCCTCATGAAGGGCCTCCTGGCAGTTATACGTGATCATATGTATACACTTATGTCCCTAAGCTTACCATACATCTTTTCCGTAAGTATGATTATGTATGTATATGTATATTTGTACACACACACACACACACAGATAACCCTAAACCCACAGATATGGCCGTTCTGGCTACGGCCTACTATGCATGTCTGTATGCACAGCGTCATGGAGGAGGTCACGGAGGAGTCGTAATTTCGCCGGGTCAACATCTGGAAAAACCCTCTTGGCTAAGGAACATATATACTTTTTGCACCAGATTGTGTACTCCGTATAAATGCCATATACCCTAAACCCGTTTTGCATCCAGGCCCAATGCGACTGCCGGGGATCCTGAACCCCCAAAGCCTAAATTTTGCTGTATACTCCTGAGTAGTAGGATCTATTTTATAAGGACCCCAAAATAAGGTACCCCCTAATTTCGGAAACTCCCAAACCCTGAACCCTTTATAGAACCTTTCTAGATCCCTTTAAGGAACCCTTATGGATCCCTTCAAAGGTACCCCCTAACTTTCGGAAACTCCCCCATAAATCTCTTCGAGCTTCATGCAGGAACCCTTATTATTATGGTACCCTTTTAGTAACCCCTTACAGGAACCTTTATGGTACGCTTATATAGTAACCTAGACCTAAGAGTAACCTAGGCATAAAAAGGGTGCCCTTTTTGGTTTAAAGGGTGTTATAAGGGAACCTAAACCCTAAAAAAGGGAATAAGGGCCTACTCTGGGTCCTAGGTAACCCTTTAAGGGGCTTTGGAGTCCCTTGGGCTCGGAGCCGCCGGGCTGCTGCCCTGCTGCCCGGTCCTGCGCCTCGACTTTGGCGTCTGTGGCGGCCTGGCCGGAGTTCGGTGTCGAAGCTTCTGGGTTTCAGGTTTGGGGTTTAGAGATTAAAGGATTTAGGTGTTTAGGGTTTTGTTTTTTTCAACGCTCCTTTTTCGTCCTTGCAGCAAGTCGAAAAGCGGTGCTTCCACTGGGTGTGCTTGTCCAGTCACAAGGGTCTCGGGTTTTAGGGCTTTAGGGGTTCAGGTCTGGGTCTTTTTGGGCCTCCCAGGGTTGAGTTTTGGATCTTGGGGTTTCGGTGGATGTTTGGTGGTGCTCGGTTTCTGGATACCCCAGTAAGCCCTGAACCACTTTTTTCCTGCTGTTCTAGTAAGGAAGGCATAAGGAAGCCCCTGAACGACAAGGTCACAAGCGAATTGTCGGGAAACTTTGGCATATCCCAAACCTTACATCCTGCACTCCCCCTTGAGCCTTCCTACACCGTGTCTCAACACGTCCCAAGGTCGGTCTTCAAGCCTCTTACGAACCTCGTAAATCATCCAGTCCGTCATGGCTTTGTGTTCATGAAGGTCAATCGCATGACCTGTTGCAGCCTTGGGTTCAAAATGAACTTCACAGAGTGCTAGGAGACAAAAGTCCCGTATTGTCTGAAACGTCCCCTGCTTGCGCCTGAATAGTGGCCTCCGCAGCATCCTCTGCACCCTCCTCTTTTTGTGTAAGCAGCTCCTCCAGCTTGGCACTGGCCTCCTGTCAGAGGAACGAGCAAAGGAGCAACAGCTTGTGCCAAGAAAACAATGAGTCTATGCAACTAAATCAGGATAGCCCGAAACATCCCGACACCGTGTACCTGATCATGTTGCTGGTGTAGCCAGCGGAGAGAGCATTGCGAGGGCAAGAAGAGCCGCGGGACATCGCTGAAGCACGCGAGGTTCGCAAACTGAACACCAAGCGCGAGCTCACATCAGAAACCTGAACCCTAAAAAAGCAATCGAAAAGAGGACTGCGATAAACGCGCATTACGACCCATTCAGGATCGCTTTCCAGCCTCTGGGGCCTGCCGGGCTAAAGGAGGCGCCGCACTTAAGTTTTTGCGGCCTTCCTCCACACATGCGTCGGAACTAGGCCTTAAAGGCTTGCGGCAAGAAGTTTGTTGAAATCCCGACACTCCACAACCCCGAAACCCCAAATCCTGATGCCTCAGCCGCAAGACGCTTCAGCCCCACCCGAAACCCCCAAATGCCAGATCCGCAACCTCTAAACTCAAAAACCAAAAATCTCTAAACCCCAAACCCATAAAGCCTAACTGGGTTGTCGTTTAAGCCCTGTGAAAATTGTTTACTATTATGGTTCTCTAAAAATAGTAGGGGAAATAAAAAGATCCCAAAGGACAACCAGGGTTTAGGGCTTTAGGGTTTAGGGTTTTTTCCCCTCCTTTTAGGGTTTAGGGTTAAGGGCTCAGAGTTTAGGGTTTAGGGTTTTGGGTTTAGGATGTTTGAGCGTTGGCATAGAAAGGTTACTACCACACTCGCACACGGCAGGCAATCGCTGCAGTCTAACCAGATATCGCTGCGCCAGTCCAATTCCCTACCATACCATAGAACCATAGGTCAGCGTTTGAGGTTTGGGGGTCATAAGCCATAATTATGGTTGATACAACTGCGGCTGCCTTGCTTAAGGCCTTACTCGTCGCTGTTTAGGCTCCTTGTGTGCTCTCCACGCTGCTTTGACCTTGGCTGCGGGGTCCTCCGAGCGCTCCTGCACTTTCCAGTTCGCCATTCGGTAGATTCGAAACACAGGGGACCCGAACATGAGCTTTGACTTAGCAGAGTCCTGAACCATTGCCACGCGAAGGGAACCCGAATATCAACCCAAACTGGTAGGGCTCCTATCATCGGGACACGAAGGTACACCAGTATAACTCCCCCAAACTCTGACATAAACTCAACACTAGCCGAATCATCTTATTCCCAAACCCTGCCTGTAGCCTAAACGCAACACCCCGCAGTGAGGCCTTGAAATACGTCCGTGCCCACATACAGT